CCCCCCCCCCCCCCCCCCCCCCGGTCCTATTGTCTGGATGTAAAAATAACAATGGTTACTAACAATTCACATCATCGGGAAGCCTATCCAGGGACCCGACAGGTGCCTGCAGACAGGACGGGCCATGCAGGCCACGGCACCTACCAGAGGACCCAGCACTTCAGGTATCCAAGCCCGGGAACCCCAGCAAAGGGGCTGGCTGAAGTGACATTGACGGATGGCTGCCTGGGCCACCGACAAGAGAGAGGACACCTGGACTACCCTCCCAGCATGGAACGAGCCTTATGGTCACTGCATGTCCTTCAGCAGTCCCTTCCCTGCATGGGAACACAGGGAAGCTAGACATAGCCTAAAGCCAACCTGCAGAAGGCAAGAGGCTGCGAACCTCAGATGGGACAAGCTGGGCCGGGTCCAAGGCTAGGGGAGTCAGGGATCACACAGAGGCCCCAGGCTGGACTTAGCTGGGTGAGGATCTGCCTGCAGCAGCCAGAACAGAGACAGCAGACCCAGAGATGGGGATGGCAGTGGGGAGCTGTCTGTGCTGAACTGCACAACAGGCTGGCCTGGGCCTACATCTTCTGGGCTGAGTTGGGCTGAGCTAGGCTGGGCTGGGTGGGGTTGAGCTGGGCTGGACTGGGCTAAATCAGGCTTTACTGAATTTAACTGAGCTGGGCTGAGCAGGGTTAGGCTGAGCTGTGCTGAGCTGAGCTGGGTTGTGCTAGACTAGATAGATCTGGGCTAGGCTTATATTACTGGGCTAAACTGGGCTGGGCTGGGCTAGGCTTAGATTATGGGACTGAACTGGGCTGCGCTGGGCTGGGCTGGACTGGGCTGTGCTGGGCTGGACTGGGCTGAGCTGGGCTGAACTGAGCTAGACTGAGCTGTACAGGCTTAGCTGAACTGGACTGGGTTTAGCTGAGTTGAGGTGAACTGAGCTGAACTGAGCTCAACTGTGCTAGGCTAAGCCGGCCTGAGCTGAGCTGGGAAGGCCTTAGTTAGGCTGAGGTTGGCTTTGCTAAACTCGACTGAGCTGAGCTGAGCTGGTCTGAGCTGAGCTGGCCTGGGAGGGATGGGGCTGAGCTGAGCTGGGCTGGGCTGGACTCAGTTGGGCTGGGCTCAGCTGGGCAGAGATGGGCTAGGCTGAGCTGGACTGAGCTGAGCTAGGCTAGGCTGGGCTGGGCTGGGCTGGGCTGAGCTGGCCTGGGCTGGCCTGGGCTGGACTGAGCTGGGCTGAATCAGGCTTTACTGAATTTAACTGAGCTGGGCTGAGCAGAGTTAGGTTAAGTTGTGCTGGGCTGAGTTGTGCTGGGCTGTGCTGAACTGGACTGGACTGAACTGAGCTGGGCTGGGCTGGGCTAAACTAGACAGCTGAGCTAGCTGAGCTGAGCTGCACTGAGCTGGGCTTAGGTCATGGGGCTGTGCTGGGCTGAGCTGAGCTAAGCTAGGCTTGGTTGGGCTATTATGGACTGAGATAAACTGTGCTGAATTGAGCTGGGCTGAGCTTAGCTGGACTGGGCTATGCTGAGATGAGATGGGATGAACTGGGCTAAGCTGAGCAGGGCTGGTCTTGACTGAGCTAAACCGGGCTGGACTGAGCTGGGTTGGACTGCTCTGAGTTGGACTGAGCTGCACTGGGCTGGGCTGGGCTGAGCTGGTCTGAACTGAGCTAGACTGAGCTGGTCTGAACTGAGCTAGACTGAGCTGTACAGGCTTAGCTGAACTGGACTGGGTTTAGCTGAGTGGAGGTGAACTGAGCTGAACTGAGCTCAACTGTGCTGGGCTAAGCCAGCCTGAGCTGAGCTGGGAAGGCCTTAGTTAGGCTGAGGTTGGCTTTGCTAAACTTGACTGAGCTGAGCTGAGCTGGGCTGAGCTGAGCTGGCCTGGGCTGGGTGGGGCTGAGCTGAGCTGGGCTGGGCTGGGCTCAATTGGGCTGGGCTCAGCTGGGCAGAAATGGGCTAGGCTGAGCTGGACAGAGCTGATCTGGGCTGGGCTGGGCTGGGCTGGGCTGGGGCGGGCTGGGCCGGGTTGGGCCATGTTGGGCCAAGCTGGCTGAACTGGCCTGACTTAGGTGGGCTGAGCTTGGTTGGACTGAGCTGCACTGGGCTGAGCTGGGCTGGACTGGGCTGAGCTGAGGTGGGCTGAGCTGGACTGGGATGGGCTGGGCTGGGCTGGACTGGGATGTGTGGGCTGAACTGGGCTGAGCTGGACTGGGCTGAGCTGAGCTCAGATGAGCTAGGCTGGCTGAGATGAACTGAGTTGGTCTGGGCTGAGTTGGGCTGAGCTGAACTTGGCTGGATTAGGCTGAGCTGTGGTGGGCTGAGCTGGGCTGGCCTGCACTGGGTTGGGCTGGGCTGAGCTGTTCTGGGTTTAACTAGTCTGGGCTGGATTGAACTGAGCTTGGCTGAGCTGGGCTGAACTGAGCTAAGCTGGACTGTACTGAGCTGGGCTAGGCTGGGCTGGGCTGTGCTAAGCTGAGCTACAGTGGGGGGTGAGCTGGGGTGTGCTGAGCTGAGCTGCCTGGGCAGGGCTGAACTGGGCTGGTCTAGGCTGATCTGGGCTAAGTTGGGTTGGGTTGGGCTGAGCTGAGCTGAATTGGACTATGATGAGCCAGCTGGTCTGGGCTTAGCTAAACTGAGCTAAGCTGGGCCAGGCTTGGTTTAATTAGGCTGGGCTGGCTGGGTTGAGCTGAGGTGGGCTAGGATGGGCTGGGCTGGGTTTAACTGGGCTGGGCAGGGCCGAGCTGAGCTGGGCTGGACTAGGCTGGGCTGGGCTTATGGAGCTGGCCATCATCAGACTGGTCCTCTTGACTGGTCTCAGTTGATCTTGGCTGATCTTGGCTGTCCTGATGCAAGGTCATCTAGACTTTGCTCAGGTGGATTGAGCAGGCAGAGTGGAGAAGGGTGTACAGAGTTGGCATAGGCACTGTGAATTTCTGGAGCCTAGAGCAGACTTCAAGACCAAGCTGAGCTGAGCACCACCACCAGGATGGGCTGGGGTCCTGGGGCTCCAAGGCCAGAACATGTATGCAAACCAGAGTGGCCTGGGCACAGTTGCTGTTGCAGGAGGGATAGGTGGCCTCTGATGGTCATCTTTGTCTTTTGTCCATAGGACATCGAGGCCAGGTCTTCCTGTCCTCCCCCAGAGATCAGCATGGGGGCAGAGCACCAGCAAGGCCTGGCCGGTCAGGCCTGGGCTGAGGTGAAGGGGAAGCCATGCCAGAGCACTTGGGAGAGAGAGTAGCTGAACCCAACAGGCTCAGGGTGCAGGTGCCCTAGAGCAGGATGGATAGGCAAATCTGCCCACAGAGAGCCCCACAAAGATTTGGGGTTAGGGGAGAAGACATTATGGTGGTTCCTGGGAGGGCTCTGGGTCCTCAGCCCCCATGGGGTCAATGCTAGGGACAAAAGGGACAGTCTGGTGTTTCCTGGGGGCTCTCTGGGCTGTGACTGTCAGCCTAGGGGAACGGCTAGTGCCTATGCACCTGGAGAGCCCACATTCCAGCCACTCAGGACTGAGTTTGGGTACATCCTGGGAATTCCCCTGTTCCTGAGCCTGGCCTGAGGGTAGTGACTGAGCCACAACTTCCCGGGGGCTGCAGGGGACACATCAGGTGGTATCCTGGGCCTGGGGCTTGTGGGGAAAGAGGTGGATGAGAGAATAAGGAAAGGGCCCAAGATGGGCCTGACCCGCCCAGCCCCCTGGGCTGGAGCAGGGTCTCCAGCACCCTTCCATTCTGTCACAGCCCCCCCCAGAACCCCAGGCCAGTGGCTATCCCAGTAGCTGATGGGGTGACAGTCCTGTGGTCAGCACTGACCTGGGCCCTGTCCCTACAGAGTCCACCCGACCCCCTTCTGTGTATCCCTTGGCTTCCTGCTGCAAAGGCACCACTGCCTCGGTGACTCTGGGCTGCCTGGCCATGGGCTACTTCCCAGAGCCAGTGACCATGACCTGGGATGAAGAAGCCTCCCTGAGCAAGAGCGCTGTGACCTTTCCCTCTGTCACCACCTCCGGCCTCTACATCACCACCAGCCTGGTCACTGCCTCAGGTGCACAGGCCAAGCAGAAGTTCACCTGCAGAGTGGTGCACGCTCCCTCTGCAGCCCACATCAACAAGACCTTCGAAGGTGAGTGGGGGCTGGGCTCGCTGTGGCTACAGCAAGAGAGACTACAGTCAGAGGAGGAGGGACTTCCAGAACGTGCCAGGCTCAGACAAAGAGGGCAGGGGAGAGGGAAGGGGTGGGCTCAAATGCCACATTGCTGGGAATATCCAGTGTGCTTGGGCCCTGAGCTGGGACATGGGCTCCGAGAGGAGGAGGTACGAGGCTCAGGAGGCCAAACAACACTCACGACCCCCACCTCTGCCCCCAGCGTGCTCCGTCACCTTCACCCCGCCCACCGTGAAGCTCTTCCACTCCTCCTGCAACCCCCGCGGGGACTCCCATTCCACCATCCAGCTCCTATGCCTCATTTCTGGCTACACCCCAGGTGAAATCGAGGTCACTTGGCTGGTGGACGGGCAGAACATCACCAACATGTACCCGTACACCACCCAGCCCAAGCTGGAGGGCAAGCTGGCCTCCACCCAAAGTGATCTCAACATCACCCAGGGCCAGTGGGTGTCCGAAAGCACCTACACCTGCCAGGTCGCCTACCGCGGCAGCACCTTTGAGGACAGTGCTCGGAGATGCGTAGGTATAGCCCCCACTCATCCCAACACCCAGAAACTCAGGGGTCACAGGGGAAAGACGGGGAGAGTCTCACGCAGCCCCTCCCGCACACAGATTCCAACCCGCGAGGCGTAAGCATCTATCTGAGCCCACCCAGCCCTCTCGACCTGTATGTCCACAAGTCACCCAAGATCACCTGTCTGGTGGTGGACCTGGCCAGCAAGGAAGGTGTAAGTCTGGTCTGGTCCCGGGACAGTGGGAAGCCCGTGACTGTGGGCCCCCTGGTGACCAAGGATCAGTACAATGGGACAGTCACTGTCACGTCCACATTGCCGGTGGATGCCACAGACTGGACTAGGGGTGAGACCTACCAGTGCAGGGTGTCCCACCCTGACCTGCCCAGGGACATCGTGCAGTCCATCTCCAAGGCCTCCGGTGAGCTACAGACCAGTGGAGGTGGGCGGGCCCTCCTGGGAGGACAGGCAGGAGGCTGGGCCTGGGCTGACCCCACACCTGTCCACAGGCAACCCTGTCTCCCCTGAAGTCTACGTGTTCCTGCCACCTGAGGAGGAGCAGGCGAACAAGCGCAAGGTCACCCTTACGTGCCTGGCCCAGAACTTCTTCCCCGCGGACATCTCTGTGCAGTGGCTGCGAGAGAAGGTGCAGATCCATGGTGACCAGTACAGCACAACGTGGCCCGTCACGGCCAACAGCTCCAGCCCCACTTTCTTCGTCTTCAGCCGCCTGGAGGTGACCTGGGCAGACTGGGAGCAGAACAAAGAATTCACCTGCCGCGTGGTCCACGAGGCACTGCCCGGCAATAGGATCCTCGAGAAACCGGTGTCTAAAAAACCTGGTAAATGATGTCCTCTGGCCTCCCTCCCTTCCAGGGCTCTGTCCAGCTGGGGCAGGGACAGGAGGGTCAGCCAGACCTGTCCACGGTTGTACCAACGCTGGGAAGCCACCCCAATAAACACTCGGTGCCTGCTCAGAGCGCTGGAAGCGCTCATTCTTGGGGGTGGGCAGGGGTGTCTTGGCACAGAGGAAGGGACTCCGCCAGGAGAGGGGAAAGGAGGAGGTGGAGCAGGGCTACGGTGGGGCTCATCTGACCCTGTGCCGGGGGTATTTGTCAACCAGCACATCTGTGGGGTCTCAGCACAGACAGCCCAGGCCCTCCCTACCTCCCCACTGTGGGTCCTGCCCCTCCAAGGAGTCCACAGATCCAGAAGTCAGGGGAGGGGCCGGGGAGAGCCTGCCTGGCCCCCACAGGCACCGCCTCTCCTGGAGGCCTCAGCCTCCGTCTGTCTGGACAGAGCAGCCCCTGCACTCCCAGGTGTGGCTGGACACATAGGCCCTGCCAGGTGGAGACACAGCCTGAGTCAGACCCCCTCACAGACTCACAGGCCCCCAGACAGGCCCCTCAGTCTGTCTCACCTGCCCTCACCTCCATGCACAGGTGGGCAGGGTGGACCCCCAGACCCAGCACAGGGGCCAGAGGGGCCAGGCCACTCACACGCCCATGCTCTCTGACCGCCCACCCCGCCCCTGGGGTCGCGACAGGCCCAGTTGGCACCTGGCTCCCCCATCCTGTTCCCAGCCTCCCTCCATGCTGAAGCGATGCTCAGGAAGGTGCTGGCCCTCGCACACCCTCCCACACTCAGTCACGCCCACTCACGCTGGTGCTCGTTGCACACGGAGCTGAGCACACCCTGCACACACAGCCCCGCAGCGCCCACAGCGTGCCACACCCACAGGCACCCCACGCAGGGTGATGCTCAGCCACAGCCCACGCATGGCGCCCACAGCTGCCCCTTACCCAGCCACTCCCAACCCCTTCCCACGGGTCACTCGTGGGCCACTGGATCTAAGACAGAAACGGAAAAGCATCCCACCCCTGGCTGGGAGCCCAGAGGCCCCCACAAGGCTTCTCCCTGTGGCCCCGGTGTCCCCAGTCTAACCACTCCCTGTCAGCAGCACCCCACAGACAAAAGGACACAGACACAAGCACACATACAAATATACACGGACACACATGGGTGCACAAGGACACACACCCACACCCAAGGCACGGGCTCCATCCCACTCTCCTGACAGCTGCAGCCCGCACAACCCATCCCAGGGCCTGAAGGCTGAGGGGGTGAGAGCTGGGGCCACATCCACCCCCTAGAGCCCCCAAAGCCGTGTGCCCATCTGACACACACCCCTGACCCAGACGCTCCCATCGCACATGAACAACAGTGCACACAACTGAGCACACAGCACCCACCTTATCCACGCAAAAAACACAGACGTCAGGACCCTAAGCACAGCCTGAGCCTGGGGGTGACCAGAGACAGGCAGGCAGCAGCGGGTGCTGGGGAGAAAGGGCCCAGGCCTCAGGGCAGAAGGAACCAGAGTGGCCAGGCCAGGCTGGGGGACGGGGCAAGACCAGAGTAGGGCCAGTAGGCAGCCCTGGAACTCCAGGGCCTGGGCTCAAGTCCACACAGCAAGGGTCAGACCCTCCACACCCATTGCAATGATTCCTTGGCCAGACAAAGCCCATGTCCTGGGTCCTGGGCTCCAGGCTGCAGAGCTCAGACCCTTACCAAGGGCTTGAAGCAGAGCGGCCATCTGCTTGCACTTTGGAGGGGTTCACGGGCTGGTGGAATCAGAGCTGGGCCTGGGCTGAGGGATAGGGCAGCTGCAAGCCCTGCTGTGCACAGGAGAGCTTCTGGGTGGCCCGACCTGGTGCTGCAGGAGGGGATCCACTAACTTGGGGTGAGGTGGGGCCAGGTCTAGAGAGGGGCCCGTGGGGCTGAGTGAGGTGGCCAGCAGTCAGGAGAGAAGCAGTGACAAATGGAGGCAGAGAAATGCGGGGCCAGGGTGAGGGGCAGAGGACGAGGGGTCAGAGAGGTCAGCCTGGCCCTGAGTCCAGGGCAGAGGACCCAGGCTGCTCCTGCACAGTTGCCAGCCGACCTTGGAGGGCTTTAGACCCTCAACCCTCTGGGGCTGGCTAGGGGCTCGGCGCAGTCCCCGAGGGGGCTGGACCGGGAGCTCTGCCACTACAGGCATCAGGGGGGGAGTCTCGAGACCAGCAAGGGGCTCCACAACTACCCCCTGTGGGAGGCTGGGGAGGACTGACTGGACAGTGCCCCCAGAGCTGGACCTCCAGGACCTGTGTGCAGAAGAGGCTTCCAGTGAGGAGCTGGACGGGCCGTGGACCAGCCTCTGCATCTTTGTCGCCCTCTTCCTGCTCAGCGTGAGCTACAGTGCCACCGTCACCCTGGTCAAGGTGGGCAGCAGGGCGGATCCTCGGCGGGGGCCGGGGAAGGCCGGCTGAGCAGGCACAGCCGACCTCACGCACGCCCTCCTCCAGGTGAAGTGGGTCCTGTCGGCCGTGCTGCAGGGGGGCCCACAGGCCTCCCATGACTACGCCAACATCCTCCAGCCAGGTGCCTAGGCCCTGGACCACCGGCGCCCCACGCAGGCCTCGCTTCTGCCTCCACCCCCACCTGAGCCTCCCTGGGGCCGCTGCTCTGCCCTGAGAGGAGGGGAGAAGACGAAACCCCCGAAGTGTCAGAGTTGGGGACCCAGTGAGGCCACCCTGTGCTCTCAACCAGTGCACCTGAGTCTGGAAGTTTCCAGCTCAGCCCCAAGGTTAAAGCACTGATGGGACCCGCCAATCACAGCCCCCATGCCACCTCTACTTTGAGAGAAGCCCCAGGATAGCATTGGCCCCTTCAATGGGGTGACCTGGACTGAGGGTGGGTGCTGACTACCCTGGGCCCATCCCAGGCCTGCAGGCATCAGGCTCACTCCCGTTTGGGCCAAACAACCACCAAAACATAATTAGGGCTCAGAGCCCATGACCCAGCCCCCAGCCCAAGTCCAGCCAGACCCAGCTGCAAGGCCTCACTCTGCAGATGCAGTCTGACCCTTCCACCCCAGGCCCAAGTGCCCTGCACCCCCAGACCCTGTGCCTTGCCCTGCACCTGATTCCCTCTGCCCACCCCCTGCCCAACCCCTGTCCTGGCAAAATGAGGATGCAGAGAAGCCCTCTGGGGTGAGGCCCCTGGGCTGGGCAGAGGGGGTCCCACAGCCAAAGAAGGGGCCTCTGCAGGGACGGCCGTGGCCTAACCCCCACAGCCCCAGTCAGCCTCTCAGTCCTAGCTCTGGCAGTCTTGTTTCCTCTCCTTTGGGTTTCTAAGTAAAGTTCCTTTTCACAAACCCCATGTCTCCTGAGTGTGCTTTGGAGGAGGTGCCTGTGGCCTCCATGGGGGTAGTGGGACGAGGCCCCCTGAGCACATGGCTCGGTCCCTACCCCACCTGTTCCACTGGTCTCCAGCCCAGGCTCACTGCCTCTTCCAAACCTAAAGTAACAGCAACAGTCAAACCCCTGTGAGAAAACCAGCAGGGGCTGATGCCATGGTCAGTACAGGAGGCCCCAGGAACACAGCACATGGTCACCAAGGTGGAGGCCAGCATGGGCCTCTCAGGACCACTAGTCACTGCCCCCATCCATCCACCCTCTGAGCACAGACAGGCCACTCCCTTCCCTGCCCCCCAGCCAGGCAGCACAGATGTCAATGAGCTGAGCTGTGACATGCAAGTGAGCAGGAGCCATCTGAGGGGGGCCACACCATCCTCAGGAAGAAGCCTGATGCATGGGGAGACAGGATGCACAGCCACCAGTGAGATGATGGTAGGCACAGGGCCTCCTCCTCAGGATAAAGAGGCAGCTTCTCTGGTTGGAAAGACTTGCTTACAAGGTCTCTATGAAGCCCAATTAAAAGGTGGGAGAATACATGAACATACATGACAAAGGGCAGGGTTCCCTCATATACAAAGAGTGCTCAGGACCCAATAAAAAGAAAGTTAGGTGAGCAACGGCTCTCTCATGAAAGGAAAAACCCAGTGGCCAATAATATGAAGAAAATGCTTCAACGATTAGAAAAGTTACAATAAGGAGGAGACTAGGGATGGGGGTGGCCCTTCCCAGGCCTGGCTGAGGACATGTGAATTATCAAGACCATTTTTTAGGGTGAATTGGCCAAATGCTTTGTTACCAAAGAATCCATTTGTAGTGACTATGCCATACAGGGAGAGCCTCACCCGGTGCTGGGAGACACACATCACACAGACTCTGAGACAGAACTGGGGTGGGAATAAGCCTGCCGGGCTGGACCACAGCACCTGCCCCTGGGCCCTGTTCTCCTACTAGGGAGGCCAGGCTAGCTCCTGCAGACCTCGGGTCAGCCAGGGCATGGGTGGCAAAGACAGGAGCAATGGCTTCCCATTGGGGATAGAACCCAGGATTGGGGATAGAACTCGGAGGCTGGTCCAGAGATGCTGAAGATTTGGTCTAAATAGAACATCGGAGAGAAGGGGGCTTCTCAGGACACAGCCAAGGCCACAGCCCCTGCCCAGCTCTACACTCATGCACACTCAAAAACACACAGACACACACCAGACTCACACACAGTCTCAGGAAGCTGGGGCCCAAGTCGACCCCACCACCTGCCAGGGTCTCAAGTCTGAATTTCCAACAGCAGAAGGGCCCTTCCAGGCTGAGGCCAGGCACCCTTGTCCCATCTCCTGGACCGGGACCCCCCCGCCGAATACAGAGCTCGGTGTCTTCTTCCTCTGACCCACATCCCAGATCATGAGACACCCACAGACAGACCCCAGAGCAAGGGTCACAAGGGCTCAGCTCGCAGGGCTCCCTGTGTGTCAGGCAACATCACACCTGAGCAAATTCCCTACAGGCCCAGCGGGAAGGTGAGATTGTCACCCTGTTGCAGAGGGGATGAGAGCAGGGGCCGTGGGGACAGGATGGAGGACTGGATCACACCCAGGCAGTCAGACCCGGAGCCCACACTTGGAACAAGAGACCCTGCCTTCCATATGGCTGAGGACACCTCCCCGGAGTCCCTTCTGTCCCTCCTTCTCTTTACTCCTTTATTAATCCACTATAGTGAGTTGAATGGAGGCCCCAAAAGGATACATCCACGTCCTAACTCCTGGAACCTGTGGATGTGACCTTATTTGGGAAAAGGGTCTTTGCAAATATAATCAAGTTGAGAGTCTCCGTTTGAGATCACCCCGGATTGTCCAGGTAGGCCCTAAAGCCAAGGACAAGTGTCTTTATACGAGACAGAAGAGGAGAGGCCATGAGAGGACAGAGGCCAAGACCAGAGTGACCCAATGCTGTGGCGGATTGTCCAGGTAGGCCCTAAAGCCAAGGACAAGTGTCTTTATACAAGACAGAAGAGGAGAGGCCATGAGAGGACAGAGGCCAAGACCAGAGTGACCCAATGCTGTGGACTGAATGTTCCTGGGCACCCTCCTCCACCACCAAAATATTCATGTGTTGAGACCCTAATCCCTAGGTGGTTGTGTTGGGGGTGGGGCTTTGGGGAGGTGATTGGGTCGTGAGGGTGGAGCCACATGAATGGGATCAGGGCCCTCAGGAAAGGGTCCCCAGAGAGCTCCCTCACCCTCTTTCCGCGTGTTGGAACACAGTGAGAAGGCACCGTCTATGAACCAGGAACGGGCACTCGCCAGAACCTGACCCTGGTGCCACCTGATCTTGGATTTCCAGCCTCCAGAACTGTGAGAAATAAGTGTTTGTTGATTAAGTCACCCAGTCTATGGCATTTTTGTTATAGCATCCAGATATGACTAAGACATGCAGCCACAATAGCCCACCTCGATGACGACTGTGGGGCATCCCAGGTTAATGATAAAACCTCCAGAGGTTCCTTGGACCAGGCCAGGGTGTCCCTGCCCAGGACCCCCGACCACCCAGGCTCCCTGCCCTCCCCCTCTCCACCCCCACCTGCCCTGACTGGGCCACACCATCACGCCCAGGGTCCCCCCAACAGCCGCCTCCTGAGTGTCCTGGCCTCACAGCCAGGGGATCTTGAATTCACCCCCACGCTTTCCAAGACCCTGCTGAAGCACATGTGAAGCACCCCAGGCCTCCATCTCCAGCTGATGTGAACCAGGCCTGGCTGTCCCTTGTTGCCCAGACAGGACCACCTCCCAAGGGGGATATAAGGGGTGAGCTGGATCATGGGACCAGGCAAAGGGCTGGACTCCACTTGGGCAGCCTCCGAAGGAGGTGGTAGGAGACCCCATGGTGAGAACGCTGATGACACAAGGCATACCTGCCCACACTGATGCCTGCCCTGTTGTCCCAAATGTCCTCCCCAAGGCTTCCCTTGCTGGGGTCCACCCCGGACGAGCCCCATCCCTCGGAGCCTCTGCCCTTACCAGCCCCTAGAGTCCCCTCTCCATCCCTGTCTCAGCCTCTAATCCTCTAACTCTCTATTTTGGTCCCTCCTTCCCTGCATCTCAGCCCCCAGCCCACCTTGTGGCCAGCCATGTGGAGCCAGGGCCACACCACGGCCCTGGGGTCACATACACGTGGCCCCACCACAGCCAGACCACAGACCAGACATGACGTGGAGGCAAGGGGCCGCGTCTGGCAGGGCAGGAAGTGGGAAAGTGACCCCATCTATGGGCCAAACACACAGTCATGCAGCCCCTCCCCAGCCTGCCCTCAGCATCCAGCCTCACCCCATCTGTGGGCAAACAGCCAGAGTGGAGCAGGGATCTGCTGAGGCTGCACAGCCATCAAGGCAGGGCTGGGACCAGGCCCTCCCCACTACAGCCCTCCTTGGGCAGGTGGGCACATGGCCAAGAGGATGGACCTCCAGTGCAGGTCTGCCTGGCTGAGGGAGGCCTGGCCCCTGTTAGCCGCAGCAGATCCTCCAGCAGCCTTGAGCAGGTGGGTCATGAATCCTCTCCAGGCCTTTGTCTCCTCGCCTACACAGTGAGGAGTCTCAGCCAGCCCCCTCCTGAGCTCTCCTGGGAGCAGAGGATGGAGAACAGGCACCAAGACAAAAGAGGAGAGGGGAAGTGGGGACCACCACAGAGATCAAAGAAACACAGGGCTGGGCTGTGACCAGGTGAGGATAAACTGGGCTATTGTGGGCAGAGACCCCCAACGAGAAGGCTCAGGACATGAGGCCAGGATGGGCAGAGATGAATTGGGATAAACCAAATCTGCTTGAGACACAGCAAGAAGAGCTTTCTGAGCTGGACTGGGCTGAGCTAGACTGAAGTGGGTTAAGCTGGGTTAAACTGGGCTGAGCTGGGCTGATCAGGATTGAGCTTGGTTGGGATGGGCTGGGCTGAGCTGGCCTGTGTTGGCCTGGGCAGGGCTAATCTAGGCTGAACTGAGCAAAAATGGGCTGAGCCTGGCTCAACTGGGCTAAGCTGAGCGGGGCTGGGCTGGGCTGGGCTGGGCTGGGCTGGGCTGAGCTGGGCTGGGCTGAGCTGGCTGAGGTGGGCTTTGCTGGGCTAGGCTCAGCGAGACAGGGCAGTGCTGATCTTGGCTGAACTGGGTTGAGCTGAGATGTGCTGGGCTGAGCTGGGCTTAGCAGGGCTGAGCTGAGCTGGCCTGGGCTGCGTTGGGCTGAGCTGGGCTGGGCTGAACTGAGCTGATGTGAGCTGAGCTGACCTGGGCTGAGCTGGGCTGGGCTGGGCTGGGCTGGGCTGAGCTGAGCTAGGCTTATTTGGCCTGATGTGGACTGAGATAAACTGGGCTGGACTGAGCTGGGTTGGGCAGAGTTGGGCTAAGCTAGGCTGAACCAAACTGGACTTGCCTGAGTTGGGTTGGACTGAGCTGAGCTGATGTGAGCTGAGCTAGGCTAAGTTGGGCTGGGCTAGGCTGGGCTGAGTTTGGCTGATGTGAATTGAGCTGGACTGAGCTGGGATGGGCTGGGCTGAGTTGGGCTGAGCTGGGATGATGTGAGCTCAGCTAGGCTGAACTGGCCTGAGTTGGGCTGAACTGAGCTGAGCTGGGCTGAGCTGGGCTGGGCTGGGCTGAGCTGGGCTGAACTGAGCTGATGTGAGCTGAGCTGAGCTGGGCTGAGCTGAGCTGGGCTGAACTGAGCTGATGTGAGCTGAGCTGAGCTGGGCTGAGCTGAGCTGGCCTGTGTTGGGCTGGACTGAGCTGAGCTGGGCTGAACTGAGCTGATGTGAGCTGAGCTGAGCTGGGCTGAGCTGAGCTGGGCTGGGCTGGGCCGAGCTGAGCTGGGCTGAGCTGGGCTGAACTGAGCTGATGTGAGCTGAGCTGAGCTGAGCAGGGCTGAGCTGGGCTGAGCTGGGCTGGGCTGAGCTGATGTGAGCTGGGCTGATGTGAGCTGGGCTGAGCTGGGCTGAACTGAGCTGATGTGAGCTGGGCTGATGTGAGCTGGGTTGAGCTGGGCTGAACTGAGCTGATGTGAGCTGAGCTGACCTGGGCTGGGCTGGGCTGGGCTGGGCTGGGCTGGGCTGGGCTGAGCTGAGCTGAGCTGGGCTGAGTTGGGTTGTGCTGAGCTGAGCTGGGCCGAGCTGGGCTGAACTGAGCTGAGCTGGGCTGGGCTGAGCTGGGCTGGGCTGATGTGAGCTGGGTTGAGCTGGGCTGAACTGAGCTGATGTGAGCTGAGCTGACCTGGGCTGAGCTGGGCTGGGCTGGGCTGGGCTGGGCTGGGCTGAGCTGAGCTGAGCTGGACTGGGCTGAGTTGGGCTGAGCTGAGCTGAGCTGAGCTGAGCTGAGCTGGGCCGAGCTGGGCTGATCTGAGCTGATGTGAGCTGAGCTGAGCTGGGCTGAGGTGGGCTGGGCTGAGCTGAGCTGAGCTGAGCTGAGCTGGGCTGAGCTGGACTAATGTGAGCTGAGCTGGGCTTAGCTGGGCTGGGCTGGGCTGAGTTGGGCTGAGCTGAGCTGAACTAGGCTTAGTTGGGCTGATCTGTACCGAGATAAACTGTGCTGAATTGAGTTGGGTTGGACTGATCTGAGCTGGATTGAGCTGGACTAGGCTTTGCTGAGTTGGGCTAAACTGAGCTGAACCGAGCTCAATTGTACTGGGCTACACTGGATTGAGTTGAGCTGGGGTGGGCTGAGCCAGGCTAGGCTTGGCAGGGCTGAGTGGGCTGAACTGGACTTAGCTGTGCTGGGCTGAGCTAGGCTGGGCTGAGCTGGGCTGAACTGAGCTGTTCTGAGCTGAGTTGAACTGGGCTGGGCTTAGCTGGACAGAGCTGTGGAGCTTTGCTGGGTTGAGCTGAGCTGTCTGTACTGGGGGGTTAAGTGGGTGCTGAGGTGAGTGGGACTCGGTGGTCTGGTGGTGGATCAATCCCCAGAGCCCTGGGTCCAGCCAGGCAGTCCCCGTGTGTCCTCTGGCACATGAGGGCCGTGCAGCTCAGAGCATCTATGATGCAGTCCTCTCCCTTCACCAGTTGCCCTGAAGGAAATCAAGAATGTGCGAGAAGGCTAAGCTCACCTTGTAGCAGGCCCTGTACTGGCAGGTCATGGCTGAGGACTGCTTTGTATCTTGGCCTCTGGACTTGAGACCCTTGTTGGCCTCAGGGGCCGACCACTGCTTGTTGAGTGGTGGGTGGTTGTAGGAGAACCCAGCAGGGGAAGTGGGAGGTGGGGACACAGACAGGACAGGCCCCTCCTCCCCAGTGTGACCTTCAACACAGCAGAGCCCAGGCAGGCTGAGCTTCAAGCCCAGGCCACTCAGTCCTTTCCTGTGCATCTCCCTCTGGGCCTCCCTGTCATGATCCCCCAAACCCCAGGGGAGAGAGCATGCAGTGCCCACTGCACAGAGTGGGAGCTGAGGCTCAGGGAGCTTCAGGGAACTCGGCTGCTCCATGCAGAGCCGTGTTAATAACCACAGTTCGCTGTCTGGGAGGGGCCTGCACCAGAGGCCCTGTCCACGTGCAAGAACTCTCTCTGAGGAGCATGTTCTAAATCCAGGTTCATGGCATAGGAGCTTTGTGACCCTGGGGCAGTCACAACCCTCTCTGTCCAGGCTCCTCCAGTGTGAAGGAGAAGCAGGCATGGTCCTGTCCTCCTGGGGCTGTCATGAGGACCCACGTTTCACAGTGCATCTTCTGTGTTCCAGAGTCCCCGACCAGCCCCAGTGTCTTCCCGCTGAACGTCAGTAGTGCTGAGTCAGGCGACGAGGTGGTCATCGGCTGCCTGATCCAGGGCTTCTTCCCCTCGGAGCCCCTGAATGTGACCTGGAGCTACAGCGGAGAGGACACAATCGTCACAAACTACCCAGCAGCCCAGGATGCCGATGGGCTATACACCACAGTTAGCCAGCTGACCCTGCCAGCCGCCCAGTGCCCGGACAGTGAGTCCATGACATGCCACGTGGAACACAACTCCAACTATAGCCAGGATGTGATTGTGCCCTGCAAAGGTCAGAGGATGGGCTGGGGGTGGGGTCAGCCCTGGCCTGTGTCCACCACAGGAGCCACAAGAGTGGACTGTAGGGCCAGGCCCCTAGAGGGGCCAAGGCTGGGGGATGGAGGGAAGGAAGGGGCACGCTGACCTGCTCGGGCCTCTCTCTCAGCTTTAGGATCTTGTGGAGAGACTTCTCCAACTCAGTGCGGCAATCCCCGCCTGTCACTGCACCGACCAGCCCTCGAGGACCTGCTCCTGGGCTCAGATGCCAACCTCACATGTACGCTGAGTGGCCTGAAAGATGCCCAGGGCGTCTACTTTACCTGGGAGCCCTCAGAGGGGGCGGCCGCTGTCCAGCAGTCATACAAGCTTGACGCCTGCGGCTGCTACAGCGTGTCCAGCGTCCTGCCCGGCTGCGCGGAGCCCTGGAACCTCGGGCAGACCTTCACATGCACTGGCACCGACCCTGCGTCCAACACCACACTAACCGCCACCATCGCCAAAGCCTCAGGTGGGCCTGGACCCCTCCCTCGGGACACTGCCCAGAACTTTACAGTTTGCAAAGCCCATTCCCAATCCTGCCTCCTCCCTCCAGCTCCTGGGCTTGGTGCTCTGATCCCCACTTGCCAGGGAAACCAAGGCCAGCTGAGTGGGAGTCAGGACACAGCCCCGGGAGCCTAGCAGGCCAGAGGGGCTCTTTCCTCCCCTGCCCAGACCCCTGACCTGACTCTCCACCCTCCAGAGGACACCTATCAGCCCCAGGTCCACCTGCTGCCGCCGCCGTCGGAGGAGCTGGCCCTGAACGAGCTGGTGACGCTGACGTGCCTGGCGCGGGGTTTCAGCCCGAAGGACGTGCTAGTGCGCTGGCTGCACGGCACCGAGGAGCTGCCCCGCGAGGACTACCTGACGTGGGCCCCGAAGCAGGAGCCCAGCCAGGGCGCCACCACCTTTGCCGTGGCCAGCCTGCTGCGCGTGACAGCCGAGGTCTGGAGGAATGGGGACAACTTCTCCTGCCTGGTGGGGCACGAGGCTCTGCCCAAGGCCTTCACCCAGAAGACCATCGACCGCCTGGCGGGTAAACCCAACCACGTCAACGTGTCCGTGGTCTTGTCCGAGGTGGATGGCATCTGCTACTGAGCCACCCGCCGCCCCGCCCCTTGAATAAACTCTGAGCTCGCCCGAAGCAGCCCTGCACTGCTGTCTGTCCATCCCCGGGGCCGGGAGGGGGAAGCCCACCGCCCTGAGCCTCTCAGCCTGTGGCACCGCCACGAGCCTCACGCCGGGTGCTTGGGTGCATGTGCGTGGGCATGGGGGGGAGGCCAAGCTGGAAGAGAAATCTGAGGGTGGTAGGGTCTCCCGGCCTAGGTGAGCACAGCCCAGGGTGTGTCCTAAAGCAGTGGGCCGTGGAAGTTTCCCGAGTGGGAAGGTGACATGGCTGCAGCTGGGGAGGCCAAGGCTGGCCAGGAAAGCACACATGCCATCGTGGGGGTCATGGGCAGGAAGGGGGGAGGAGAGGGGCTGGATTCCAGGGCACCCCCGGAGAAGCGTACCCCAGGCAGGCCCCACATCACCCCCAGCTGGTCAGCCTCAGCCAAACAACACACAGTGCTCAGGCCAGCCCCCAACTTACACAGAAAGGGGGACCCCCATGGGTGCAGCCTGCCCCACCTGCACACCACACCACTCACATGTACACACACACATCTGAGCCTTGCAGGTGCACAGCCTAGACCCAGCTCCAGGAAGGCAAGGGCAGGCCCCTCCCAAATCCACAGTGGGGTCTCCCCAGGCTCTCCTCCTGGCCTCCCTGTGCTTCCAGCTAAGGTGCCAAGTCCACAGACGCCTCCCAGGAAGCCCCTGCTCCCTGCGCGTCCCCCAGGCTCAAGTCTCCCCTACCTTCCTGAGCCCAAGTATGACACAAATCATGGACAGGGTGGGGAGCAGTGGTGGGGAAGAGCCAGAAGCAGGCCAGGAGACAGCTCCCACCCAGGGCCCCCTGCAGGCCTCTGGCTTCTGCTTGGGGCTCACAAGAGCACAAAGAGAACAGTCCCATAACCCCTGTGGGGACACGTGGTACCACGACTCCCACAAGGGGGCAGCGGGGCCCCTGCTCTCGTCTCAGACACCTTCCACCCTCCTCACGGGACCCGGCCTCTGCGCCTCCCTCTGCTCCCAGGGCTGAGGTGGGTGGAAGCCCACGCACACTCTGACCATGGCTCTCCCTTGAGGGTCCAGTCACCAAAGGAGGGCAGGGAGAGCATCGGGCCAGTCGGGGAAGCACAGCCACAGAGTAGTGCTCCAGCCAGCCCTGGGGACCCAAGGCCTGACCAAAGGACGGCTTTCTAAAGAGAGGGGGAGGTGGCAGAATCAGTGGGTGAGGGGCTGACCCCATAGAGGGAGAGTAGGCAGAGAAGTGGAAGGATCATAGGGCACACGGTGGTGGATGGACGGGTGGGTGGGTAGATGGATGGTAGCTCTATGGATGGCTGGGTGGATAGATAACAGCTTTATACATGGATGGATGGATAATGACTCTATGGATGGCTGGGTAGATAGATGGATAACAGCTCTACAGATGGCTGGGTAGGCAGGTGGACGGATGGAATGATGAATGATTGGATATATCAGCATACGACAAGCAGGTCCAACTCCCATTTAACAAGGGAGATCTATGCCCTGGGACGCAGGGGCTGCCTGTGCTGGTGGCCTTCAGCCCTCAGTCACGTCTCCTGGGAAGGCAACAGAGGCCTCTGATCACGTCCATCCAGCCCTTGGCACACTGAACCTCAGATCCAGATCTCTGTCTTGACCCAGATCTCCTGGGGGGTGAGGAGTTCTGCTCCTCTGCAGACCCAAGACCCTGGCCAAGGCCAGCTGGGGCTTGGTGAGGGCTCACTGAGTACACTGAGACCCAGGAGGCCTTGGGCTCTAGCTGTCTTAGAAGCAGCAAAGATAGTGCCCACCCACCTGCCCTGCCCAGTCTCCCACTGAGACCCTCAAAGACAGGGGTCCTGTGGGCATCTCAAGAGCTGCAAGGGTCCCCACCCCTTACCTGGGACCCTGACTCCTCGACCTCCCTGAGCAAGTCTCAGACCTGAGATAGGGACTCCCACTGTGGCTGTCCCCAGACCCCAATGAGGCATGGGAGGGCAGGGCTTGGGCCCAGGTCCCCACCCATGCAGGTCGAGGCCTGACAGGCCCTCAGTGTCTTGCAGGTTGGCTGGAGCCGCTTCCCTGGGTGGTGCTGGACCTGCCACAGGAGAGCCTGGAGGAGGAGGCCCTGGGCGCTGGCCTGTGGCCGACCACCGTCACCCTCCTCACCCTCTTCCTGCTGAGCCTGTTCTACAGCACGGCGCTGACTGTGGCGAGTGTGCGGGGCCCACCTGGCAGCAGAGCAGGAGGCCTCAAGTACTGAGCAGGAGCCGGCATGGTGCAGGTGGGGGGCCAGGAGGGTGTTGATCCAGGCTGGAGGCGCTCTGCTCTGAGGAGTGCATCACCTGATCTCACCACAGGGAGCCCTGCTGTCCTGGGGAGGTGGTCTTTCCACAGACAGGAGGACACGGGCAGGCCTGGGGTCAGGGCATGAGTGTCCCGTGGGTGCAGAACTTCAAGATCCAATTCGGTCTCTATGAGTCAGGCCAGGGTGGGGACTGGGTCACTGGGAGGACATACCCACCTTCACGAGTTCCTCCAGCCCTCACCCCTGTTGTCTTTGCAGGGAGTGTGGAAGGACCTCCTGGAGAAGCCAGCTGTGCGTGCCAGGACTCAGCCTTGACTGAAGCCTCCAACCCACCCCCGATTCCCACACCTTCCTGGAGCAATAAACTGATCCCAAAGGCAAACGTCCTCAGACTCTGGATGAGGGGAGGGGACCCAGGAAGTGGCTGTGGCTTCAGACTGGAAGATGCCTGCCTCACAGTCCATGAGAGTGTTAGGGTGGGCATGGGCCCAGGAGGACCCTAGTCTAGTAACCAAGGCATGACCTGGTCCTGCACAAAGCTAAGATATAGGGATGAATGCCGGGTGTCACCAAGGCAGGTGAAGAGGGAGAGTCCTCCCCAGAACCACACACAGATCACCGATGCTGATCCATGAGTACTGGTCCTGATCACTAGCCCAGCCTTTATCACTGAGTCCTGGTCCTAATCTTTGGGCCCTGCTTCTGATCACTGGTCCCTGGTATTAATAACTGGGGCCTGGTCCTGATCATTGTGTCCTGGACCTGATCACTGAGCCCTGATCCTTATGACTGACCCCTGGTCCTGATCACTGTGTCTCCTGATCACTATGTCCTGGTCCTGATCAGTGTGTCCTGGTCTTGATCACTGTGTCCCGTTCCTGATGATGGTGTCCTGGCCCTGATCAATGTGTCCTGATCCTGGTCACTGTGTCTTGGTCCTGATCACTGTGTCCTGGTCTTGATCACTGTGTCCCAGTCCTGATGATGGTGTCCTGGCCCTGATCAGTGTGTCCTGGTCCTGATCACTGAGCCCTGATCCTTATGACTGAGCCCTGGTCCTGAGCACTGTGTCTCCTTATCACTGAGCCCTGGTCCTGATCACTGAGCCCTGATCCTTATCACTGAGCCCTGGTCCTGATCACTGTGTCCTGGTCCTGATCACAGAGCCCTGATCCTTATCACTGAGCCCTGGTCCTGATCACTGTGTCTCCTGATCACTGTGTCTTTGACCTGATCACTGTGTCCTGGTCCTGATCACTGAGGCCTGGTCCTGATCGGTGTGTCCTGATCCTGGTCACTGTGTCTTAGCTCTGATCACTGAGCCATGGGCCTGATTACTGAGCCCTGGGCCCTATCACCATGTTCTTATCTCATACCCATTTATTCTGACATCTGAGACCTTGTTCTGAGCCTGCCTCACTCTGTCTTGCATGCTGGATTTTGTATCTTTGTTCTGAGACTTGACCCTCATTAGGAAGTGACCTTCAGGGATGCAGGGAGCTCTTTAGGGGTTTCAAGACCCTCTTGGTGCATGCACTGGATGGAACATGAAATAATGACCCCCAAGGCCTTGCTCCACCTTTCCCAGGCCCAGAGGGTGTGTTGGCACCAGGCTGACCTGGTATAGCAAGGACCAGCCCAGGCCCCATGCCTGTGAGAGCTGGACTCTCAGTCCATTGGGGATTGCCAGATCAAGGGTTACTACTGGGGGAGGGGTGACAGCACAGGAGTGGGACAGGAGGAGGGTGGGAGGCAGTGCTGTTTGTATCTTCTTGTTTTTCTCTTTCTTCTGAAGCCTCCTGTGCCCCATCACCTGCCGAAACACCCAAAATAGCCCTATAGAGTGGCTGAGTCATTCCAAACACAGCCCAGCCCAGGTGTCCCAACCAGAGAGCTGCTGTTCTGAGAATCATGCCCCAAAAAACCAAGATCTGGTCAGATGGGCCTGGGGCCTGGGAGAGTTCCTTGGGGGCAGTGAGTTCCCCAAGGCCTGCAGGAGGCCCCAGCCCCCATCAGCCCAGGGTCAGCCAGGGTCTTCCAGGGTCAGCTGAGATCACCCAGGATCAGCCATGGTCAACCACCATCAGGCTCTAGAGAGGCCAAGATCAGCCAGAATCAGGCAAAGGTCAGTCAGGATAAACTCTGGCCAGGGTTTGCCAGAGTCAACCAGGATCTGTCCAGGGTGATCCAGGGTCAGCCAACGTGTAACACGGTCAGTCAGAGTGAGCTGGGACCATGCAGGCTCCTCAGGTTTCCTGAGTGTCTGCCCAGCTCAGGCCAGGCTCTGTCCTTTGCAGAACTCACCAGCTTGCACTCCCATAAGGGCTATGCCCATGACACAGCAGGCCCAGGAGGGACGCTGGCATGGAGCATCTGGCAGTGACCTCAGCCAAGCTGCACACCCTGCACACCTTCCCTCAGCTTCCCCCGGGGCCCCACAGCCAGGGCCACACTGTGAGCACAGCCCTGGGGCTTGATGGCCACCCCTGCAGGGTCCATGAGAGAGAGACACAAACACAGACAGACACAGGAAGGGAGACAGAGACACTGAGACACACAGAGATGGGGATGAGGAGACACAGGCAGCGAGACAGACACGGGTGAGGGAGAGAGACTGAGAGGCAAGAGACAGAAAGACAGGGAGAGACAGAGATGAAAAGCAAAGAAATGGGAGAAGACAGAGACAAGGAGAGACAGAGACAGGAAGAGAAGAGACGGGGACAGGG